TGTTTTGTATACCAAATTTGGTTCCAATCGGTTCAGTCGTTTAGCCGGAAATGAGAGTACAGACGGACCGACATCATCAAGATTTTGTTTGATTCGCATTCCTGGTTTTTCAAAACGAGTATTTCCGTAAAAAAAGTGGGGGATCATTTTTTATCCCAATCCCTTACTAACGTGCGGGGGGTAAAAAGTAGGCGAGAGTGGGTTAAATTTATGCCGCATTCGTAGGCGCCCCTTAAAATGGCCAATTATTCTTTCCGAGATAATTTTTTTTCGGGGCTCAAAAAAAGGCAGTGTATAACCTTCCTTTTTTCCCAAAGTCGACTGCACTAAAATTTCTCGGGAACACACTTTTTCTTATTAATTTTGGTGCGTAGAATCCAAAACAATTTGTACTTTTTCGATCGGACTTCTCAATCAAAAGTTATAGACTAGAAACCAATTTCGAAAGAAAATTCAAAGGGCTGTAGCTTTTGAACTAGTAGCCCAATCTTGGAACTGTTTGAAATTATGGATTCTACAGGCCACATTCTATAAGAAAATTTTTTTCCGGGTCGATCTGAGACAATTTTTTTTTCGGGGCTCAAAAAAGGCATGTGTAAAACCTTCCTTTTTTACCAAAAATCGACTGCACCAAAATTTCTCGGGAAGACACTTTTTCTTATTAATTTTGGTGCGTAGAATCCAAAACAATTTGTACTTTTTCGATCGGACTTCTCAATCAAAAGTTATAGACTAGAAACCAATTTCGAAAATAAATTCAAAGGGCTGTAACTTTTGAACTAGTAGCCCAATCATGGAACTGTTTGAAATTATCGATTCTACAGGCCACATTCTATAAGAAAATTTTTTTTCCGGGGCGATCTGAGACAATTTTTTTTTCGGGCCCAAAAAAAGGCAGTGTAAAACCTTCCTTTTTTACCAAAATCGACTGCACCAAAATTTCTCGGGAAGACACTTTTTCTTATTAATTTTGGTGCGTAGAATCCAAAACAATTCGTACTTTTTCGATGGGACTTCTCAATCAAAAGTTATAGACTAGAAACCAATTTCGAAAAAAAATTCAAAGGGCTGTAACTTTTGAACTAGTAGCCCAATCTTGGAACTGTTTGAAAATATGGATTCTACAGGCCACATTCCATAAGAAAATTTTTTTCCGGGTCGATCTGAGACAATTTTTTTTTCGGGGCTCAAAAAAAGGCAGTGTACCTTCCTTTTTTACCAAAAATCGACTACACCAAAATTTCTCGGGAAAACACTTTTTCTTATTAATTTGGGTGCGTAGAATCCAAAACAATTCGTACTTTTTCGATCAGACTTCTCAATCAAAAGTTATAGACTAGAAACCAATTTCGAAAAAAATTCAAAGGGCTGTAACTTTTGAACTAGTAGCCCAATCTTGGAACTGTTTGAAATTATGGATTCTACAGGTCACATTCTATAAGAAAATTTTTTTTCCGGGGCGATCTGAGACAATTTTTTTTTCGGGGCTCAAAAGAGGGCAGTGTAAAACCTTCCTTTTTTATCAAAAATCGACTGAACCAAAATTTCTCGGGAAGATACTTTTTCTTATTAATTTTGGTGCGTAGAATCCAAAACAGTTTGTACTTTTTCGATCGGACTTCTCAATCAAAAGTTATAGACTAGAAACCAACTTCGAAAAAAATTCAAAGGGCTGTAACTTTTGAACTAGTAGCCCAATCTTGGAACTGTTTGAAATTATGGATTTTACAGGCCACATTCTATAAGAAGATTTTTTTTCCGGGGCGATCTGAGACAATTTTTTTTTCGGGGCTCAAAAAAAGGCAGTGTAAAACCTTCCTTTTTTATCAAAAATCGACTGAACCAAAATTTCTCGGGAAGACACTTTTTCTTATTAATTTTGGTGCGTAGAATCCAAAACAATTTGTACTTTTTCGATCGGACTTCTCAATCAAAAGTTATAGACTAGAAACCAATTTCGAAAATAAATTCAAAGGGCTGTAACTTTTGAACTAGTAGCCCAATCTTGGAACTGTTTGAAAGTATGGATTCTACAGGCCAAATTCTATAAGAAAATTTTTTTCCGGATCGATCTGAGACAATTTTTTTTCCGGGGCTCAAAAAAGGGCAGTGTATAACCTTCCTTTTTTAACCAAAAATCGACTACACCAACATTTCTCGGGAAACACTTTTTCTTATTAATTTGGGTGCGTAGAATCCAAATCAATTCGTACTTTTTCGATCAGACTTCTCAATCAAAAGTTATAGACTAGAACCCAATTTCGAAAAAAAATTCAAAGGGCTGTAACTTTTGAACTAGTAGCCCAATCTTGGAACTGTTTGAAATTATGGATTCTACAGGCCACATTCTATAAGAAACATTTTTTTCCGGGTCGTTCTGAGACAATTTTTTTTTCGGGCCTCAAAAAAGGCAGTGTACAACCTTCCTTTTTTACCAAAAATCGACTACACCAAAATTTCTCGGGAATACACTTTTTCTTATTAATTTGGGTGCGTAGAATCCAAATCAATTCGTACTTTTTCGATCAGACTTCTCAATCAAAAGTTATAGACTAGAAACCAATTTCTAAAAAAATTTCAAAGGCTGTAACTTTTGGAACCTAGTAGCCCAATCTTGGGAACTGTTTGAAATTATGGATTCTACAGGTCACATTCTATAAGAAAAATTTTTTTCCGGGTCGATCTGAGACAATTTTTTTTGAGGGCCTCAAAAAAAGGCAGTGTAAACCTTCCTTTTTTACCAAAAATCGACTGCACCAAAATTTCTCGGGAAAACACTTTTTCTTATTAATTTTGGTGCGTAGCATCCAAAACAATTCGTACTTTTTCGATCAGACTTCTCAATCAAAGGTTATAGACTAGAAACCAATTTCGAAAGAAAATTCAAAGGGCTGTAACTTTTGAACTAGTAGCCCAATCTTGGAACTGTTTGAAATTCTGGATTCCACAGACCATTTTCTATAAGAAAAATTTTTTTCCGGGTCGATCTGAGGCAATTTTTTTTCGGGTCTCAAAAAAGCAGTGTATAACCTTCTTTTTTTTACCAAAAATCGACTGCACCAAAATTTCTCGGGAAAACACTTTTTCTTATTAATTTTGGTGCGTAGAATCCAAAACAATTCGTACTTTTTCGATCAGACTTCTCAATCAAAAGTTATAGACTAGAAACCAATTTCGAAAGAAAATTCAAAGGGCTGTAACTTTTGAACTAGTAGCCCAATCTTGGAACTGTTTGAAATTATGGATTCTACAGGCCACATTCTATAAGAAAATTTTTTTTTCCGTAGAATCCAAAACAATTTGTACTTTTTCGATCAGACTTCTCAATCAAAAGTTATAGACTAGAAACCAATTTCGAAAAAAAATGTAATGGGCCGGAACTTTTGAACTAGTAGCCTAATCTTGGAACTGTTTGAAATTATGGATTCTACAGGCCCCATTCTATAAGAAAATGTTTTTTCCGGGGCGATCTGAGACAATTTTTTTTTCGGGGCTCAAAAAAAGGCAGTGTAAAACCTTCCTTTTTTATCAAAAATCGACTGAACCAAAATTTCTCGGGAAGATACTTTTTCTTATTAATTTTGGTGCGTAGAATCCAAAACAATTTGTACTTTTTCGATCGGACTTCTCAATCAAAAGTTATAGACTAGAAACCAATTTCGAAAAAAAATTCAAAGGGCCGTAACTTTTGAACTAGTAGCCCAATCTTGGTACTGTTTGAAATTATCGATTCTACAGGCCACATTCTATAAGAAAATTGTTTTTCCGGGGCGATCTGAGACAATTTTTTTTTCGGGGCTCAAAAAAAGGCAGTGTAAAACCTTCCTTTTTTCCCCAAAATCGACTGCACCAAAATTTCTCGGGAAGACACTTTTTTTTATTACTTTTGGTGCGTAGAATCCAAAACAATTTGTACTTTTTCGATGGGACTTCTCAATCAAAAGTTATGCTTCGGCATGATCGTGATCTGTCAATTGGAAAGGTACATTCTAATAGCTCCTTAAAAAAACTAGCGAAGGGTGGGGTGGGCTGGATTTATGCCGAACTCGCCTTCGGCTCGCTCGGCATTCGTAGATGCCAATTTAGTAGCCAATTATGTACCTATTTCTTGACTGTTTCGTTAATTTAATGAATGGATACACCAATGCCGAGCGAGCCTAAGGTGAGTTCGGCATAGCTCGTGATTTGTCAATTGGAAGGGTACATTCTAATAGCTCCTTAAAAAAAACTAGACAAGGGTGGTGTGGGCCGTAGTCTTCCCAAAGGATTCTTCACAAAACGTTATTCACAGGGTCTTCCCAACATTATGACTTATCTTTTCCTTGTAAAAAGTCTCTCTCAATTATTTTCTGGAAATTTTCTCCTCTACTAATCTTCCGTTTCGCCACCTTTTCGATAAACTCCCAAAAGCTACTTGAAATGTAGAAATATTCTCGAAATCATTTTGGAAGCTTGCGTCCTCCTCAAATCCTACGGAAATCTACCCAAACTCCCCCCGAGGTATTTTAAGAACTTCCTCTACGAAATGATACAGGGAGAACATTTTATCTATAGAACACTTTTGTCTTCTATACAATTTTTTTTTTAAAAACTATGGTGTCCGAAATATAGACAGTTTTCTACCAATTTATTTTTTTATATGTACTTTAAACTTATGGTCAGTGGCGTACTTCTGCAAGGTGAAGGGGGGCATATTTTTTTTAATCACAACTACTCGTTTTCGTTACATATTATGAAGGAGTACATTTTGTGGATATATCAAATTAAGGAAAAACTTTTCTTATTTGAAAACTTTGAGAATTTTCCGTTTTCAGACATAGAAGTCTCTCAAAATCCTCGTGAAGAACCTTCTTGAGGATCCCTCAAGGTTTTTTTAAAACCCTTTCAGAACTCTTATTTTTAGAGATGATTTTGATCCCTAGCAGTTAAGGGATTCCCGATCACAGTGTCAGGAAGTGGGGACGAGGAAGGTTGACGTTTCATACAATCAAAGTGGTTTCTTAAAGATTTTTCAAAAAACGAAAAACTCGACTTTATTATCAAGTGTCCCGTGGTCCCAAATTATTTCGGACAGTCGTGTTCCTTGATGCATTTATTGTGAGTCTTGTCCCTGACGAACCCTTCGTGGCATCGACAAGCCATGTGAGGGGCGGCTGCGCAGCGCGGAAGAACTTTAGGTTGCGCGCATGTCGGTTCGCATCCGATCGTCTGGATGTAGCTCTCGTTGTCACCGCATCCTGTAAAGTCACGTCAGGCTCTGGTCGAGACCTTGCCAGACTCACCTTTGTTTGGGCAGTCCTCCACTTTGACACATGCGTTCTTGCTCTTGTCCCTCACGAAGTGTGGCAGACATTTGCATCCCAATTGGGGAGCGGTAGCGCAGAGGGCGGTAATTTTGGGAGTTTCGCAGGTGGGTTCGCATCCTACGTGTTCTTCGTGGACGGCGTTTGGCCCGCAGTCTGGAAACGATCGTCAACACCAAGAAGGACGGAAGCGTAACTCACCTTCAGCCAAAATGGCTTGGACCAGGCAAACGATGACACTGACAATAACAATACGAGACATCTTGGCTCACTGTTCTTGGAACTTCTTGGCGGTTGTTTTTATACTAACGCACGAGATAAAAACAAGCAGTAAAATTACCTATAAGACGATAAGAGGTTGACCTTTGTCCATTATGCTGTAATGTGTCATTATTTCAACCCAACAACTAATTATCGATCAAAAATTCAAGGTTAAAGGTTCAAGATGTGGTCATTGTTTACTCTTTTGGTTTCCTATTTCCAAGATTCAGAATCCAGTTTTACGGTTTTCTATTTTTGGGTTTTCTATTTTCGGTTTCCAACTTTCAGTTTTTTTGTTTTCGTGCAGAATCTCTATTTTTTAAATTCCATTATTTTTCAGATTCAAACTTATCGTCTTCTAAAGATCTTAAGGGATGGAGACGAGGTTCTTGGAAGGTCTTGGGGACCAATAAAAAGGTTCTAACGCCCATAACAACCTTTAAGGTCTATAAGGGGCTTTTGGTCTTTTTTGAAGTTCTTGGAAACTCTTGTAAACTCACAATGCCCCTTGAACCTTCTTGGGGAGATCTTACAGAGCTTCAATGGCCAATAAAGGCTATAATTTCATAAATATTTCAAAGGTGTTTCAAGGTCCGTTAAACACTATTAAGATGTGATTTTTAAAAACCTTTTATTACCATCCATGGGTCTTTAAATAGCCGTCAAAATAGAAGACTTTTGGATCCTCTTGGAAACCCTTGAAAACTCCTAAATACTCAACGATTTTTAAATGACGGTTCTCAGAGATCCTTATGCCTTTAGGAGGAAGTATCTCTATCTAGTAATCATTAACGCTTTTTATTACATTAAATGCACTTTCCAAGGCTCTAAAGGATCATTGGGGGTGTGCTAGAAACTCTTGAAAATCTTAAGAGACTCATGGAGACTATTTTAAACTTTGGAAAGCTTGTAAGGCCTCTTAAGGCCTTTCTCTAAGACTCTAAAGACACTTAGCGACACAAGGCTCTTTAAATAATTATGTTAAGCATTATTAAGTTTTTTTTTAATTACGGTTAAAGGCAAAAAGACTAATCAGTGCACTTACGTGCGTTAAAAAGCTCTTACATTTGGTCACTTCGTGTGTGTTCAAAAATGAAAACCTCCGATCTTTGTACCTGATTTAATTTTCTCTAATGCGTCAAGGGATCAGTCAGTGTTTGAAGTGTGCCCTTTACACATTAAGTTCAAAATTTCTATTAAATTTCGTGTTTCAAACCGAGAAACTTAGGAAATCTGCTTCAGAAGCGCCTAAAGCGTGTTCAAAAATGAAAACCTCCGTTCTTTGTACCTGATTTAATTTTCTTTAATGCGTCAAGGGATCAGTCAGTGCTTGAAGTCTGCCCTTTACACATTAAGTACAAAATTTCTATTAAATTTCGTGTTTCAAACCGAGAAACTTAGGAAATCTGCTTCAGAAGCGTTTAAAGCGTGTTCAAAAATGCTTTAAAAAGTCCTCCGAGTGTGCCCTTTACACATTAAGTTCAAAATTTCTATTAAATTTCGGGTTTCCAACCGAGAAACATGGGAAATCTGCTTCAGAAACGTTTAAAGCGTGTTCAAAAATGAAAACCTCCGATCTTTGTACCTGATTTAATTTTCTTTAATGCGTCAAGGGATCAGTCAGTGCTTGAAGTGTGCCCTTTACACATTAAGTTCAAAATTTCTATCAGATTTCGTGTTTCGAACCAAGAAACTTGGGGAATCTGCTTCAGAAGCGTTTAAAGCGTGTTCAAAAATGAAAACCTCCGATCTTTGTACCTGATTTAATTTTCTTTAATGCGTCAAGGGATCAGTCAGTGCTTGAAGTGTGCCCTTTACACATTAAGTTCAAAATTTCTATTAAATTTCGTGTTTCGAACCGGGAAACTTGGGAAATTTGCTTCAGAAGCGCCTAAAGCGAGTTCAAAAATGAAAACCTCCGATCTTTATACCTGATTTAACTTTCTTTAATGCGTCAAGGGATCAGTCAGTGCTTGAAGGGTGCCCTTTACGTATTAATTCAACATTTCTATTAAATTTCGTGTTTCCAACCAGGAAAATTGGGAAATCTGCTTCAGAAGCACCTAAAGCGTGTTAAAAAATGAAAACCTCCGATCTTTGTACCTGCTTTAATTTTCTTTAATGCGTCAAGAAATCAGTCAGTGCTTGAAGTGTGCCCTTTACACATTAAGTTCAAAATTTCTATTAAATTTCGGGTTTCCAACCGAGAAACATGGGAAAGCTGCTTCAGAAACGTTTAAAGCGTGTTCAAAAATGAAAACCTCCGATCTTTGTAACTGATTTAATTTTCTTTAATGCGTCAAGGGATCAGTCAGTACTTGAAGTGTGCCCTTTACACATTAAGTTCAAAATTTCTATTAAATTTCGTGTTTCCAACCGAGAAACTTGGGAAATTGCTTCAGAAGCGTTTAAAGCATGTTCAAAAATGAAAACCTCCGATCTTTGTAACTGATTTAATTTTTTTTAATGCGTCAAGGGATCAGTCAGTGCTTGAAGTGTGCCCTTTACACATTAAGTTCAAAATTTCTATCAGATTTCGTGTTTCGAACCAAGAAACTTGGGGAATCTGCTTCAGAAGCAGAAAGCAGAAAGCGTGTTCAAAAATGAAAACCTCCGCTCTTTGTACCTGATTTAATTTTCTTTAATGCGTCAAGGAATCAGTCAGTGCTTGAAGTGTGCCCTTTACACATTAAGTTCAAAATTTCTATTAAATTTCGGGTTTCCAACCGTGAAACTTGGAAAATTTGCTTCAGAAGCGTTTAAAGCGTGTTCAAAAATGAAAACCTCCGATCTTTGTACCTGATTTAATTTTCTTTAATGCGTCAAGGGATCAGTCAGTGCTTGAAGTGGGCCCTTTACACATTAAGTTCAAAATTTCTATCAGATTTCGTGTTTCGAACCAAGAAACTTGGGGAATCTGCTTCAGAAGCGTTTAAAGCGTGCTCAAAAATGAAAACCTCCGATCTTTGTACCCGATTTAATTTTCTTTAATGCGTCAAGGAATCAGTCAGTTCTTGAAGTGTGCCCTTTACACATTAAGTTCAAAATTTCTATTAAATTTCGTGTTTCGAACCGGGAAACTTGGGAAATTTGCTTCAGAAGCGCCTAAAGCGAGTTCAAAAATGAAAACCTCCGATCTTTATACCTGATTTAACTTTCTTTAATGCGTCAAGGGATCAGTCAGTGCTTGAAGGGTGCCCTTTACGTATTAATTCAACATTTCTATTAAATTTCGTGTTTCCAACCAGGAAAATTGGGAAATCTGCTTCAGAAGCACCTAAAGCGTGTTAAAAAATGAAAACCTCCGATCTTTGTACCTGATTTAATTTTCTTTAATGCGTCAAGGGATCAGTCAGTACTTGAAGTGTGCCCTTTACACATTAAGTTCAAAATTTCTATTAAATTTCGTGTTTCCAACCGAGAAACTTGGGAAATTGCTTCAGAAGCGTTTAAAGCGTGTTCAAAAATGAAAACCTCCGATCTTTGTACCTGATTTAATTTTTTTTAATGCGTCAAGGGATCAGTCAGTGCTTGAAGTGTGCCCTTTACACATTAAGTTCAAAATTTCTATCAGATTTCGTGTTTCGAACCAAGAAACTTGGGGAATCTGCTTCAGAAGCGTTTAAAGCGTGTTCAAAAATGAAAACCTCCGATCTTTGTACCTGATTTAATTTTCTTTAATGCGTCAAGAAATCAGTCAGTGCTTGAAGTGTGCCCTTTACACATTAAGTTCAAAATTTCTATTAAATTTCGTGTTTCCAACCGAGAAACTTGGGAAATCTGCTTCAGAAGCGTTTAAAGCGTGTTCAAAAATGAAAACCTCCGATCTTTGTACCTGATTTAATTTTCTTTAATGCGTCAAGGGATCAGTCAGTACTTGAAGTGTGCCCTTTACACATTAAGTTCAAAATTTCTATTAAACTTCGTGTTTCCAACCGAGAAACTTGGGAAATTGCTTCAGAAGCGTTTAAAGCGTGTTCAAAAATGAAAACCTCCGATCTTTGTACCTGATTTAATTTTTTTTAATGCGTCAAGGGATCAGTCAGTGCTTGAAGTGTGCCCTTTACACATTAAGTTCAAAATTTCTATCAGATTTCGTGTTTCGAACCAAGAAACTTGGGGAATCTGCTTCAGAAGCGTTTAAAGCGTGTTCAAAAATGAAAACCTCCGATCTTTGTACCTGATTTAATTTTCTTTAATGCGTCAAGGGATCAGTCAGTGCTTGAAGTGTGCCCTTTACACATTAAGTTCAAAATTTCTATTAAATTTCGTGTTTCCAACCGAGAAACTTGGGAAATTGCTTCAGAAGCGTTTAAAGCGTGTTCAAAAATGAAAACCTCCGATCTTTGTACCTGATTTAATTTTTTTTAATGCGTCAAGGGATCAGTCAGTGCTTGAAGTGTGCCCTTTACACATTAAGTTCAAAATTTCTATCAGATTTCGTGTTTCGAACCAAGAAACTTGGGGAATCTGCTTCAGAAGCAGAAAGCAGAAAGCGTGTTCAAAAATGAAAACCTCCGCTCTTTGTACCTGATTTAATTTTCTTTAATGCGTCAAGGAATCAGTCAGTGCTTGAAGTGTGCCCTTTACACATTAAGTTCAAAATTTCTATTAAATTTCGGGTTTCCAACCGTGAAACTTGGAAAATTTGCTTCAGAAGCGTTTAAAGCGTGTTCAAAAATGAAAACCTCCGATCTTTGTACCTGATTTAATTTTCTTTAATGCGTCAAGGGATCAGTCAGTGCTTGAAGTGGGCCCTTTACACATTAAGTTCAAAATTTCTATCAGATTTCGTGTTTCGAACCAAGAAACTTGGGGAATCTGCTTCAGAAGCGTTTAAAGCGTGCTCAAAAATGAAAACCTCCGATCTTTGTACCCGATTTAATTTTCTTTAATGCGTCAAGGAATCAGTCAGTTCTTGAAGTGTGCCCTTTACACATTAAGTTCAAAATTTCTATTAAATTTCGTGTTTCGAACCGGGAAACTTGGGAAATTTGCTTCAGAAGCGCCTAAAGCGAGTTCAAAAATGAAAACCTCCGATCTTTATACCTGATTTAACTTTCTTTAATGCGTCAAGGGATCAGTCAGTGCTTGAAGGGTGCCCTTTACGTATTAATTCAACATTTCTATTAAATTTCGTGTTTCCAACCAGGAAAATTGGGAAATCTGCTTCAGAAGCACCTAAAGCGTGTTAAAAAATGAAAACCTCCGATCTTTGTACCTGATTTAATTTTCTTTAATGCGTCAAGGGATCAGTCAGTACTTGAAGTGTGCCCTTTACACATTAAGTTCAAAGTAATAAAGCACAAGAAGAAAAGGGAGGGGAATGGAAGACGGATTAAAAAGGAAGAAAAGGAAATAAAGGGGGGGGGGGGGGAATAAAAGAAACTCTCGCGAAAAAAAGTGACGAAGAAAGAACAACAAGCAAGGATAGGAAGATAAAAGGGGAGGATATCAAAGAAATTTAGAAAAAATAGGAAAGAAAACACGAGGTGATGAAGGGAGCGAAGGTGATCTCACTCTTCTATTTCTCTATTTTTCCTTATTGTCACCAAAAACCCACAGTTGTAAGAAATAATTTAAGTATCTACAGTGGAGGAAGCGATCCTTCGCCCTTTTAGGAGAAAAGCGAAAAGAGAAAAAGAATTTTAAAAAAGTAGGAACAAAAAGGGAACAAAAGTGTGGAAGAAATAAAGACGGTTGTGACAGGGCGAGGGCAAATGAAAGCTGTCAGAAAAAGGGGGGTGGAGGGAGATAGTGGAAGGAAAATATAGAAACGAAAGCGGAAGCAAAGAGGAAAAAAGAACATGGAGCACCTAAATTATTTAATCATTTCTTCTTAATTGAGAAGTGGTGGCGATTTTTGAAGTTTCAATTTTTTGAATTAATTTTCAATTGTGAATGCGAAACGTGTTTCCAGAATTTCTAGTTTTCAAGATTTTGTGAGCTTTTTGCATTGAGTAGCTCGAAGCTCATCACCTGAGCGAAGAAGGGTCTTGGCTTGATCCAAGATCCAAGTCTTTTGTTATAGGTAATCGACCTTAGATAACTTCAGCTTAATTTGATAGCTGGTGGGCACAAGGAGTAAGGGTTATCGACTTGTTAAATAAACATCCTCGACTGTTATCAGACAAACCATCTTTACTTTTATTAAAATTCAAGTATACAAACAACTACCTTATCGATTCAATTCATTTCGGACAGTCCTCCGGCTTAATGCACGGACCTTTTGATTCCCTCCGTACGAAACCGCTGTCACATTGGCACGCCATGTGAGGGGCGGCGGCGCAGGGGAAATCAATTACGAGAAATCGGCACGAAGGCTCGCACCCGTTCGTTTGCACGTAGCTCTCGTTATCGCCACATTCTGCAAAGGAACATAGAAATTAACCCTCAAAGCGAAAAAAAAAGAACTTACGCTCGGCGGAAATGGCCTGGACTAGGAACGCTGCAACGCAGAGGATAGCAATACGGGACATTTTGGTTCTTTATGACTTAGACATTCGGCAGACGCTTTTATATAAGAAAATCAGTTGATTAAAGGTTGACCTTAGATGGCTTCAATTCAAACGGTCAATCCTTTGCAAGTATCGTTAACTCATTAGTGTTCTTCCACTGCTTTTGATTTCTATTTAATTTGATGTGTTTGTCAATTATCATTAAGAAAGGCTAATTAACGACTAATTCCGAAATAAGTGTGTTGAGAAACTTCCACGGCTATCATCTCTTGCATAAAAAAACATGTTTTTGTTTATCCCAATTCGATCCATTTACCTATCGCTTGCGTGACCTTTCGCTTTAGAATATCTCTCTGGGCGTTTGATGCCAATTTTCACGCTGAAAAATTGGAAGAAATCAAAGAAACGTACAGAGAATGTTGAAGATCTGACGTGCCCTTAGATTTAGAGAATCGGAAGAGTCTTCAAAGTCGACAGAATGTTTAAAAACTCGAAAAATTGATAGAGCGACACTTGAAGAATGCCAGAAGTAGGGAGGATTCAAAGAATCCGAAAGCATACGAAGGAGATGATGGACTTGAAGAACGAGCAAGTTTCAAAGAAATGGAAGATCAATGTATTTTCAGAATCCGCAAAACCCAAAGAATCTTTGATTAATTTGCAGGCTCCCGAGCGTCTAAAGAATCGGAAAAATTCAAAGAAGTGGAAGAACCCAAAAGGTTCAAGGAGTTCGGAAGCATACGAGGAACTCGAGGAACAAAGTGTCCTGTTACCGATTTTTAAAGGCTTCTAAAGACCCATAAAATCTTTAGTTCTTCACGGTTCTTAAAAACTTTTAGAAGGCCTTAAAGATTTTCACCCCCTCCCCTATTTTTAAAGAAATTAACTTTCTTCACTTCCTCATATTCAGGCCCCGTTTTCAATAACGCTTCCTTAAGATCTTTCTGGGTTTTTATTTGCATTTTGTTCTCTCTTCCACCATGTGCTTGCTTCAAACCCCTCTTACTACCCTCTCGTGCCTTCTTTAAATATGAGGAGTCTGTCTCAGAAAGTTTCAGGGGAGTTGCGTTAAACGTAAAATGTTAAAAAAAGGTCTCAAAGAATTTCGGAAAATTCGATGGAAAAGAGCCAGGAACTTCAGCAAAGTAAAGGAAAACCTAAAGAATTCGTCTGTTTAGTGAAAGATTTGCGTTTCATTAAAAGTTAAAAGTTTCTTTCTTTCGTGCAGTCACCTAAAATTTCATTTGGACCACCCTGCATAATTTTCCAATAGATAAAACACGATCTATGCTGCACAAACAAAACATACACGCTCTTTTACCGTCGCGAGACCGGCAGTAGCTGTTCCGTTTATTCGTCGTCTCTAGTATTTAAAGAAACACCACTTCTACCATAAAATAATTTCATTTATGAATTTTTACCCATCACAACTAGGCAACGGTAGAAACTTGTAACATTTAATAAAAAGAGAACCTTAACAAAAGGCTCAAGTGTACTACGACTGCTTGTATTTTCAACTCGAAGTATTCGGACAACACAAATTTCCAAGCTCTTTTACCGTCGCGAAACCAGCAGCAGCAGAAGTCCCGGTTACTCGTTGTTGCACCAAACATCTTCACTTCTTCAAAATGACGCGCGCAATTCCTTATCAGCTGATCAGCAGCAAAACACGTGCGTTAATTATCTACTTCCAATCCCATATTCTAGATTTCAGATTCTAGTTTCCAGTTTTCAATTTCTAGACTCTAGTTTCAATTTTTCAGGTTCCAGTTCTGAATTCAAATTTAAGCTTCCCAATATCAGTTCACAATCCCAGCTACCAGTTCCCGATTTCTTTTTTCCTTCACTTTCCAGATTCCAGTTTTCATATTCCAGATTCTTGTTTGGTACTCCAGTTTTTAGATTCCAGTCTCCAAATACCAGATTCCATATTTTAGTTTCTAGATTCCAATTTCTATGTTCCAGGTTCCAGATTCCAATTCATACCTTTAGTTTCAAGGTTTCAGTCTATATTTTCCGAATATTGCAGTGTTATGAAAGTCACAGAATCCAGTTGCGTAGGTCCCAGTTCCAAGATTCCAGTTTTCAGATACAATTTTTCAAATTTCAGTTTTCGTACTCACGTTTTCAGGTGCCAGTTTCCAGATTGATTAGCCAGGAATCCGTAGTGCCCGCACTTAATTTCCCAGAAAATACAGTCGAACTCAGAACCACGATTCTATGAAGTTTTTTCAGGGCTCGTCACTCTTACGTTTCCATTTTTTGCAAATTTCAAATTTTTTAATACCTCCAACTTCTCTCTTCAAAATCTTTAGGTTTTGTATATTCTTACGTTTTTTGAATTTCGTATGTGTCAAATTCTTTTAGGGAGATTTTAGTTTTTTGGGTCACCAGATTCTCCAGTTTCTTCACATCTTTCAGAGACTCTTCCTTCGGACCCACATGTTCCCTTATTAAAGTAATTTTTCGAAAGATTAATCCCCTTATGTGATGGTTTTGTCTGTCTGTCCGTCTGTTCCTCGTCTAACTCGAGAACGAAAAGAGACAGCGATGTAAAACTTTCGCCGATCGATTTCTACGGGTTCAAGGATCAGTGCTATTGAATATGAGCCGGATCAAAAGTCTGGTTTCCGAATACGGGTCGAGTGGCAAAAAATTCCCTTACTGAAATGCGATTATTCTAATCCTTTAGCCTCTTCAGAATCCTACTTTTGATTGTTACCGTTGAAATATTCTTCAAATCGCTCCGAATTGAACGAAAAAAAAACGTAAAAAATGAAGAAGAGATTACAGGCTCCGAAAAATCCGCCAAAACAAATCTAGTATTTGAACTCTGAGAACATCGTGACGGATGACAGGTGACGACAGTATTGGCATTAGTGTGGTTTGTTTTAAACGAGAAGGTAAATTGTGTTAGCGCACGACACTCGATGATGAGATCTGCATCCGTAAAAAAAATCCTCCCGCATTGATATGCAGAGAAACCTGCAAGAATTAGATTATTCTCCCGATACACGGCGAAATAATAATAATAATAATAACGATGATGATAGGATAGTCTGAATGAAACAATCCCTAATTATTAAAGTGCTATCGTAGTAAGGCTATAATGGCCTAAGGTTATGGATATAATAACGCGTCTTGGCAAGTGATGATTTCGCTAACAAGGTGCTCACGGATTCAGGGAGGCCGGCCCGTGATAATCACGGGTTATACCTTGGCCATATTTCAATCTGGGAGGTCTCACGGATATTAATATTGATACACGCATCTCTCTCGAAATATTACTTTCTAATTGGATAACGTTTAACGGCGCGCAATTAAGACTCGAAGTTGGAAATTTATGCGTTTTAAAATATTTCCGAGCGTCTCGAGGATGGACGTCTGCTTTTGCGGGGGCGCGTTAAAGAAAATTACACTGTATCGATACTGACTTCCCTCTAACATAGTCATTACTAAAACCAACAATGGGGATGTACAAATTACGCGCTTCGTGTCTGGATTATCTCAAGGAGATTATGTGGGTTATTTCGGATAATGGACAGGCCGTTTACACTTCCAAACAAGCTTCCTGAAGGTATACTTTGTTTCTATTTTTTACTTTAAAATTGACACGCTCAGCGTTAAGAATGCAAATATTTATACAATTCGTAGGTTTTAAGAATGAACTAATAAGTACATGTACATGGCGAGTTACATTTAAATTATCACTTAGTTGCAGTATTTCGTTATTTATCACTTTGACATCGATATTGAGACTGCCACCAAACACAGGTCAATTAGTTTCAAGGTTTCAGTCTATATTTTCCGAATATTGCAGTGTTATGAAAGTCACTAGATCTAGATTGCAAATCCCAGTTATCAAATGCAATTTTCTAGATGCCAGTCCACAGAATCCAGTTGCGTAGATCCCAGTTCCAAGACTCCAGTTTTCAGATACAATTGTTTTTTGGGGGGAAACCCCCAGTTATCTCCTCTAGCGCACGAAAATGATAATTGTAAAAAGCGGAACGAAACCTTTTCTTTTCCAGGGAATATTTACTGCTTTTGGCACTTGTTTCATACTGTTTAGAAAAGGGCCGCCAAACTTGCCGCGCGGAAGAGATGCTCTTTAGGAAAGGAAGACCCTCGGTATGGAATAGCACCAGCAATTCCCATATTTAGTGTTCTTACAAAAACTATCATGAAAGTGGTACCGGTGTTCTGGGGGGCATGGAAGTCCCTCTGGCGCACAGAGATCTTGATCTTATGATAATTACAGGAAAGGAACATCGAAACTTTCCTTTTCCTGGGGAGTATTCTACACTCCCCAGACCTCTCGGTTCTACGTTCTTCCCCGAACTATTTAGCTATTTTGGTGGGATACCGCCCAGCTGTTTCCATTAGCGCACGAAAATCTTATGATAATTGTAGGAAATGGAACACAGAATCTTTCTTTTTCTTTGGGGGGAGAGGGGTATTCCATAACCCCCCCCCCGTTCTACATTCAGTTCTTTTACCCCCCCCCCCTCTTCCCCGAATTATTTAGTGGTTTCCTAGTGACCCAACAAATCTAAATCTCCCTAAAAGAATCTACAGCAAATTCAAAAAACGGAAAAATGCAATAAAACCTTATTTTGAAGAAATTAGAACTTAGAGATATTAAAAAATTTGAAAATTCCTTCTAACGCACGAAAATCTTATGACAATTATAGGAGAAGGAACATCGAACTTTTCTTGTTCTTGGGGGACATTCCAAACCCCCCAGACCCCCTGGTTCTACGTTGTTCTCAGAACTATTTAGTGCTTTTGGTAGAATACACCCCCATTCATTCCCTCTAGCAGACGAAAATCTCATGATAATTGTAGAATGTAGGAAAAGGAACGCAGAGCCTTTCTTTTTTTCTGGGGGTGGGGGATCCAGACCCCCCGGTTCTATATTTTTTGGTGCACGCTTATGAGAAACCATGAAGGCATCTTAGGGCTGAACGTTTTGAGACAGAATGTAGCACCGGTGAGTCGGGGGGGGGGGGGGGGCCCATCCCCCAGTCATCTCCTCAAGCACACGAAAATGATAGTTGTAGTAAGTGGAACACAGGGCATCTGGGGGGGGGGGATACCATAACTCTCTCGCCCCCAGGTCCAAGATTCTTCCGTGTAACACCAAAATACCGCGATGAAGGGATGCTCTTTAGAAAAGGAAGACCTCCCTAACCTTGGAATGCAACGC